ATGGGTACCAACATCTTCGTTGTAACGGCATATCACCCATCAGACGTGAATACAATGTTAAGAGAACAATTCATTTTAATCAAAGACAAAAACATCGATTTTATTGTGTTATTCACACATAATCAAGGCTCTGTTCAGGAATTTGAGAGGGGGAAGGGTGGTCTGTTCAGGAGACAACGTCTAGTTTGGCGTGAATCTAGGGGGGGGGGGCATGAGACTTTGATAAAGCCAAAAGCTCTAAGACAATATATCTGCTTATGTAAGTGTATACATATGGAGCAGTGGTCCCCAACCTTTTGCTGGCTGCTACCCCATTCCAGAAACCATCATTAGATCGCGACCCCTTGAAGAACAAAGTCACTCGATATAGATAGTGAGAATCCCGTAAAACTAATTTCGCTTTTCAGAGACTAGAGGAAACAAATGGTGGGTGTGAGAGAGGAAAGACGATTGACAATGTGACATAGGGTGTATAGATCAGAGAGTTATGCTTTTCATGAAAACATAGCATTTTTTTCAGACTAATCCCTCACGATCCCACGAAAGGCGCTTTGCAACACCAGCTGGCATCGCGACCCAAAGGTTGGGAAACCAGGATATAGAGGATTATTAGAGTGGAGTGGGGTCAAAACTATGGCGGTATATTAGATTCAAAATTCTAACATGCTATCGTCTAATTTCTAACTTCCATTCATGTAATTTCTAACTTCTAACTTCCATTCATGTAATTTCTAACTTCCATTCATGTAATTTCTAAATTAAGACAATGTATAATCCAACTTCTTTATTTGTTCAGTGTAAATTTTAATTCTGTTTCATCTTATTTCTATTATTAAGGCGAAAAATGTCTATTTGCTTTACATGTTAAGCGTTAAGCATGAACGGCAAACAAATTTAGAATTTTTTTACTTCTACCTAGAAACCATCATTATGACGTCGTTTGGTGTCGCTACCGTGTGCTCAATTTGGCGATTGAGCACCCGATCGGGGCCATTCTGTTGATAGAAACGACTTGCTCTTCGTCCGGTTGAATGGTTTGGCGGAGTGTTAAAACTGAAAACAACTTCGACCGAGAGAGAGAGAGGAGAAATGGGTTTTAACGTCCACTCGACACAAACTAGGTCATTTCGGGGCTAACACATAGTTCAACATGTAAAGCAACTAGACATTTTTCGCCTTAATAATAGAAATAAGATGAAACAGAATTAAAATTTACACTGAACAAATAAAGAAGTTGGATTATACATTGTCTTAATTTAGAAATTACATGAATGGAAGTTAGAAATTACATGAATGGAAGTTAGAAATTAGACGATAGCATGTTAGAATTTTGAATCTAATATACCGCCATACAAAACGGCAGCAATGCTTTGCACATAAGTATGTTCGACGTTATTTCGATGATTGCAGGAGAGACAAACGCGTGTGTGTTGTGCATAAAGTTTCTCATCGGGTCTAGTGGCGTGGTTTCGGTTCCCCACTTGTACGTAACACGGATTTGGGTCGCGAAAATATGGTACTAGCTCACTGACTAGGAGGTTCCAGATGTCTGTGTTGGACAAGATATCTATGTATTCAGTAGAATTCAAAATAAACAACAAAACACAGAGCATCTAATTATTGGGTTTAATAATTTAAAAAAAATATAATTTAATGATAAATTATCAACAAATATAATACACATATAATAAATATTACAAGAAAATCATCCCAAGATCATATTCACAAAATCCCTTAAAGTCTAGGTTTTAAGGATGCTGCATCAAATAGTTAACTCATATGGCAAGTAAGAATTAAATGTCGCAGAATTACATTTTGTGGCTTCTACATATCACGGACAAAAACCGACAAGAGCTTTCTTTTGTTAATACCGTCCAAAGTATATTCTACATATCATATCCAAAAATTTAAATTGTTTCATGTACAAAATTGATAAGATTGAAATTTTGATTCTTGTCGGTGTCGGTCGCATCTTTTTTTTATTGTTAAAGACTAGGATAAGTCATTGTTAGAACAAAATCTATCCGGTCTGGCTGTGTATTTAGCACCTTGAATGATTCAATGTTTTAATAAACTCTACCCTGGTTACCCTGGTTTAAGAAGGACGGAATGTTTCAACAGCTGTTTTGTTAGAGAACGGAATGTTTCCAGAAACTCGTCTGTTTTGTTTAGGGTCTGAATGTTTCAACAAAAACAGTCCTGTTTTGTTAAAGGACGAAATTTTTCAAGAAACTGTTGTGTTTTGTTAAAGGACGGAATGTTTCAACAAAAACAATTCAGTTTTGTTACGGGACAGAATGTTTCAAAAAGTTGTTCTGTTTTGTTTGGGGACGGTTCGGGGGTGGAATGTTTAAAGAAGAACTGTTCTGTTTTGTTAGAGGGCAAAAAGTTTTAACAACAACTGAACTGTTCTGTTAGGAGACGGAATGTTTGAACAAAATCTACCCCGTTTTGTTACGGGACAAAAAAAAAAAAAAAAAAATAAATAAATAAAATAAACGCCGATCCTGTAAGAAGGCAGAATCTTAAAACAAAACTTTAATTAAATATGGAATGATGGAATTTTTCCCAACCCTATCCGGTCTGAGAGATGAAATTTCAAATTTACAACAAAAACTAGCCGTACATGTACTTGTAGAGGATGGAATGATTGAATCAAATTGGAATTACGGTCATATGAATATTGAATGATTAATTTAATAATAAAAAGATAACCATATGGTCAATCATTTTTGAATAAATAAATCTGTCCTTCTAGTCTCAAATCTAGGTTTTAAATCGCAAGCAACAATTTTGTAACATCTTAAAAATACAAAGCACAATTTAATAAATAATGTACATGTATGTATAATGAAAAATAGAAGCTGTTAAAGGGTCGATCTCGATTATATTTTGGAGAATAAAACTGCTGAGTTTTGTGTGAAAATCCTTAAAACCCTTTACCTTAGGGTCGAGCAACTAACTTAATATACGTGATACGTTTTCAAACATCTTAAACCCGTCAGTCTGCATCTGGAAATGAAGATCAGTGTGCCAAGCTGTATTATACGGTGTCTGGATAAAACCAGACTTTTTAATCATTTCATAAAAATAACGTGTAGATGAAATTTACCGTTCGTTATCAAGTACAGAACATACATCACACACTGTTTTGAACGTGGAACGGTAATAGATTATCAGGTCACACAAAGAAAAAACTGACCCGAAATCTTGAAAGGGTTACGTGTCCGGATAAGCTGTTTTGACATTCACCTCCAAACGACTCAATATTTTGAGCTGAAGTTTTCAGACAAGGTAAATACACCATTTCTCTACATTTTAAATTTCATACGTACACGGCTCTTTATTTCTGAGACTGTTGAAATCGGAATGGTCCCTTTAAGAAAATCTAATGACTTATTAACTGTTGGATGAACATGTAAAACAAAAGTTATCCCGGGCACAGCCAGGGTCACAAGAGATTTATGAACTGAAGTGTAATATGTAATTTACAGTAATATCAATGTGTCCAGTCCAAACAATGTTTTATATAGACTGTATTTAACATACTACATCTATCCAGTCCAAAGGTTTATAACCTCCCAACTGTTCATAGAAATATTTATTAGGCAACTCAAAAATAAATAAATAGGTATCATGTTATGGATACTAGCCTGAAAATATCTCACCTGTCACTAGGCACAGATTCGGGATTTATCAGGCAAAATTCCATCTTGTACCGGTCATTTTGTCTGTCACAGCTTTGCCGTTTTTGATAGTTGGCAAGAAATCAAAAATGTAAAGGTCAACTTACAACCTAATATGGTTATTTCCAGGCCAAGTTACATGTAGTCATTATTTCCTGACAAAGTTACAACTAGTTGTTATTACTAGGTCAAGTTACAACATCATTATTACCAGGCCAAGTTACAACATAGTTATTACCAGGCCAAGTTAAAACTAAAAGCATAGTTATTACCAGGCCAAGTATGGAAGTTATATAATTCAAATGCTGAGACGAATTTTCATAATAAATATATACCTGTGAAAGCTTATACATATAGTTATTTGATAGTGAACATTTATAATGCTGATAAATTAAATTATTTTAAAAGTTTAAACATGAAAACAAACTATGATGGTTATACAAGTATGTATGAAGGAATATTATATCAGTAAACATTTATAATGCTTTGAAATTCAATTCTTTTAAACATGAAAACTTTGATAAAGATAACAATCCTGCATGGTTATAATTTATAAATATATGAAAGCATGAATGAAGGAATGGTCTTGTTAGGTAAAACTTGACAAATTAAAATTAACACAAACTGATATTCATAGGCCTACTACTAATATTCCAACTTTATGAATATTTAGATTTTATTTCTATTTTTTTTTTTTAAAATCTGTCTGTACTTTCTCAGTAGATCTCTCTTGTAAAATGGTTTCAACTTTATATGCACATACCACATTCTCATCTGAAATAATCTTAACTAATTAGTCAAGGGGTGTGCAATGCCTTCTTTCTGGCATGTGAAACCATGAGCTCACTTAAAAAGGTGTCCTACCCACCATGCCTAGTCCAAATAAGACAACTATAATTTTCTGTTTTGTTTGATTGCATTCTGTCAGTTGATTATCTAATTACAGAATGATCTGAAGTATGTGGTTATAAGAAGCTTCTGTGATATATATATATATACAGAGAGAGAGAGAGAAATGGGGTTTAACGTCCACTCGACACAAACTAGGTAATTTTGGGACTAACACATGGTTCATTTTATTTCAATAATTCGCTTGCGCGTAGGGTTTCTTTAGCAGTGGAAGGAAACCGGAGGAACCGGAGAAAACTCACAAGGTTGGACAGGCGACCCTACTCCTTGTCATGTACAACAGGGGAATTGAAACCCCGTCATTTGATATATATACAGGAAACATTAATGCTTGGTCCCCGTAAGTGATTTTAAAACTTCAGAAAATGTGCCATATTTCTGTCTGTTATATAATCTTGTTGTGTAGAAACTCCCCCCCCCACCCCCAACCAGAAGTAATAATTGAGGTAGGTGGCAAAAATAAAAGTGCTACCGTGTAAGAAGATTATCTTAGAATTAAATTTAACAAAATGAAATAAAGATCTTATTATAATTACCAAGGTCATGCAAAACTAAGAAATGTAATTTTTAAATGAAACAGCACTGTTAAATGTCTTTAGTTTTGAACTCAGAGTAAGTTTTTCTGAATCCTCCATATTGTTTGATTTGAGCAAAACTTGGAATTCATGTTGCTATAATTCAGTTCAAGCTTGTATAGATTTGTTCGTAGTTATGGTGATCTGACTTCCAGGCATCAAGGAATCAAAGAAGAATGGTAAGAGTTTGTGAGCCTGAAAATAAAGAGAAAAGAATAATATATTCTGGGTATCAACACAGTTTGTTTTGCATATGAACAGGTAACACACAGAACAAAATAAAAGGAAAGTCATGAAGTTTGGGTACTGGGTAGCCATCATATTCCTGAAGCAATGGCTCGAGAAATCCCTCTCTGGCCATTGCTGGATTGGCTTCTGATACTTCAGCTTTAGAGGGAGTGTGTCTATTCTTTCCGTTCAATCAAATCTATCCCAAGTACAGCAACATGACAGCCCTTCGTTTAATCTGGGTCTTCCCTGAAACTTTGGACAGTGATTTGAGGTATTAAAAACAGTGAAAGTATTGTTCGTCTCCAAACAGTATTGTTTACATTGTATCTGTTTTGATAGCCTCATTTGTCACACAATTAGTTTTTCTGCAATATTCTGCTATGCACTGGTTAATTGGGCGTAATAAAATCGTGAGTCATGACGTAACGTTTTGTAAACACGTTTAGTCCAATTTGGAGCTCTGTTTAAAGCATAATGATATTGTTATGCAGTTAGCTATTGGTTGTTAATCAGACTATTGACAAGTCATAATTTGGAACAGAAATTTGCTTCCATTACAGAAGTGTTAAGTGGGATTAGGTCTAATCAAGCGAACACTGCGAGGGGTATGGGTAACCATAGAAATGGAATGAAACAACGTTTAATGTTCTACTCTTCCACATCTGCCAGGTTAATGAAAATGGATATACGCCACACAGTTGGGGGGGGGGGGGGTACAGTCTGTTGAGGAGACAATCTTTAGTTTGGCGTGAGTCTAGGGGATGACATGAGACTGATAAGCCAGACTGTAAGGGACATCAGTCAATCATGATAGGTGTCTCCAAGATCTCCCTGAAAGTTAAAGGAGCTAAATCGCCTATGTTTTGGACCTAGAAATTTACAAAAATGGGTCGGAGGCCATATAATAATGTAATATGAATGTATATAAACTGATTTACGTTCAATCGTTTCGGTTTTTATTCTAATTTCTAATCCATTATGTTCGGCGAAATACGCCAAAAGTCTCATGTGAATGGCAATCTTTAGCGTCTGGTTTTTCCAGTCTACACCGATGGTATTTATTGTGCATGCTCTCCAGATAAGAATATAGTGTCACCATTTGACGTGACTTGTGGAATATATGTCTAGCCCTGTTCTTATGTGTCCCTTGTTCAAAATGGCGCTGAAACGCATTATGGTACACGATTCGTGTACCAATTGTAAAATGTTTATTTTGTCTTAAATACTGGATATTAGAAGCCAATCTTTTCCCGGTAAGATCACAACATCAATGTTGATTTCAATTGACAAATAATTTGTGTTTTCAATGTCAAAGATTTTTGATGATATAGCTACTTTAACTACATTGTATTTTTATCTGATTATTGTGTTATTTAGAGCTTTATATTATATTTATGTTTCACATTCTACTTTAGTATTAATATATTTGATCATATTGATGTAATATTCTGTTGTACAGTACCTCTGTTCTATACTATATAAGTATTATATCTTTGAATACACGTACATACATGTATATATATTGATGTGATATTATATTCAAACTTGTTGTCTCTTGAACATTTGAATGACAGATATGTGCTTTATAAATGTTATATATAATGACAATAAATGTTATATATAATGACAATAAATGTTGTATGGAAATAAATGTTATATATAACGGCAATAAATGTTATATATAATGACAATAAATGTTATATATCACTGCAATAAATGTTATATATAACGGCAATAAATGTTATATATAATGACAATAAATGTTATATATAAAGACATTAAATTATAACGCAAATAAATGTTATATATAACGGCAATAAATGTTATATATAACGGCAATAAATGTTATATATAACGGCAATAAATGTTATATATAACGGCAATAAATGTTATATATAACGGCAATAAATAATACTTCTCAAAAAAACCCTGCTCTCAGGCTTATCACTGACATAACATATGGCATTTGTTTTTCTTGAAACTCCCTTCTCTCCCTAAATATCTATTGAGGAAACTTTGAATATATCATGAATTGAAAATTTGTCAATATAATCGGCATCCCCTTCCTGTATAATCTGATATAGTCAAAACAAGAGAAATGGGGTTTAATGTCCACTCAATACAAACCAGGTCATTTTGGGACTAACATATAGTTAGCAGTGGGAGGAAACTGGAGGACCCGGAGAAAACCCACGAGGTTGGACAGGTGACCCTACACCTTGTCACGTACAAGCATGGAATCGAAACCACACCACTTGATTCAATGACAGACCTTATGCTGCAATGCACACGCGTTAACCATTTGACCCCCAGTCCCCCTCCTTTAATCAAAACAAGCCAGTGGCACCCATAATTGTTAGAGAATGATTTGATGACCCCAAGCTGGGATATTATCTTATGTATTGTTATTTTGATGTTGTTAAATAATCTGCGTACATTAAGTCATGGAAAATTTAATATTTCCTGAAAAATGCAAATGACACACAGGAGACATTGACGGTAATGTGAAGACTTGTTATTAAAATATTGAATACTTAAATGGCCTCGGGGTTTAAACATGTTTTTAAAACCATTTATTTAATGATGAAATTGAGCTGATATTGAAGTAATTTACTCATCTCGACAAACGGTTAATATTACAGTTTTCCTGTTTCAATGAGGTGTTTTTATATAATGAAGAGGAAAGCTATCAGGTTATCATCAGTCTATATGATATAAAGTAGAGTCTCATATAACCTCTCTGTCCAGTTTTATGTCATTCTTATATCAGCCAATCATATCAACTCATGACAGGCGTGATGCATTATTAAATATTAAATAACGTAATAATTAATGCGCATGTTACAATTGTTGAGAATTAACAAGGGTGAGTTTTATTAAAACATTTGAATACTGAATATTATTGTTATAATGAAATCTGATCCAGTCTGACTAAAACAGATACAAACCTTCACATACTCATTCTCTCTCATGAAATATATCAATTATGACTATAGAATTGCAAAAGGTTTCAGCATACGCCATACAGTGTCCTATGAGGGCAGTGGGACATTAAACCCCATTTCATTTCATTGTGTCGGATGCGAAGAGAATGCTAACAACAATTTTTGTGGATATATATAAAATTATGTAAGTGAAAAGAATACAACAATCTTTGTTAAACTAATTTAGTCAGATAGGTACTTGATGATCTCTAATAAAATTACATTTTGTATTTCAAGTGGTGGTGAGAGAGAGAGAGAGACAGATAGAGAGAGAAGTGGGTTTAACCTCCACTCAACACAAACAAGGTCATTTCATGACTAACATATGGTTCAATTTTATTTCAATAATTTGCTTGCGCATAGGGGGTCTTTAGCAGTGGGAGGAACCAAAAAAAAACCCATGAAGTTGGACAGACGACCCTACTCCTTGTTACGTACAACCGGAGAATCGAAACCATACCAGTTGATTCAAGTGGTGGAGACCAGAGAATAATGATAATACAATGTGACAGAATAACTTGAACAGGTCATGATGATATAACAACTAGTGGGACACACACAAAATTTTATTAAAGAATCCCAGTTTTATCTTCATAATCAGTACTCTTTCTCAGTTAGCCTTGGGGTGCGCTCGACTGTCATATATTCTTAATTACATTTGGAGTTGAAGCAAGGGTCGTTTATTTTTTTCTGGCCTGGGGATGTTTGCTGAGGTCTTTCCAAACAATACGAGTGAAACAATCAAGATGTTTTTTGGCTCGGAACACATGGTTTTCTTAATACTCGTTAAGACGGTGAACGATTTAATCTTAAGCCCCCGTGCTTTATTTCACTTTGCTGTTTGGTCTTAGGATAATAGAAGGTCGTCCATGTTTCTATTAGGGAAATGGTTCGTGATAATACGAGGCAGAAAAAAACGGAAAGATCCATTGAGTCTCTGTTCATCAATAACAAGGATAAAATATATTAAGATCAGAAATCCTTTGCAAACTTTCTTAAAAGAATTTCTCATCAAGTTTGCTTTCACAAAAATGAACAATCTTTTTCCCCCATCAAATTTGGTAGAGATTTCTCCTAGGAAACGTTCAATCAAAAGCTATTTTCTTTCAAAAAGTCAAATTAATTTAAATGAAACTCCAAAAGTCAAATTAATCTTTCATGCTCAGAGAAGAATACTTTGTGTAAAACGCAGTTTATTTTTCTCAATTATTCCAACGACCAAGTCTTGGCCATTTTGTTTTTCATGGATTATAATCCTATTACAAGTTATGTATTTGTTGAACTTCCTTGATCAACGAGAGAGAGAGAGAGAGAGAGAGAGAGAGAGCAATGGGGTTTAATATCCACTCAACACAGACTATATTCTTTTGGGACTAACATATGGTTCAATTTTATTTCAATAATTCGCTTTAGCAGTGTGAGGAAATCTGAGGACCCGGAAAAAACCAACAATGTTGGACAGGCAACCCTACTCCTTGTCACATACAATCGGGGATTCGAAACGACGCCAGCTGACTCAATGACAGACTTTATGATACAGCGCGCACACGCTAACCATTTACCCATCCAACCCCCAGATCAACATTAGAGGGAATCTGATTAAAATACAAATACAGATCTTTATTTCATTTCATTTTTTTTATACTTCCGATGACCTACACTACATGAAGATTTGACCAGTTGTACTGGAAGGTCGCGTTAGGGGTCGTACGAATGACTTTTGACCGTATGACGTCAGACATTGATTAATCAATCAGCATTGACGTTTCTAGTGGTTTACCCAAAGTTCTGTGCATGGCACGGCAAGAAGTCGCAAAACAGACCGTTTCATTGGCTAATCTCTCACGTCATTCAGAACGCGGGTTATATAACAACTCTTCCAGATTCTAGTGTAGTAAAGACAAGTAAATAAAATTTTGAACTATAAAAACGAAACAAAATAGGATCTGTGTTATAATCAGATTGATGGAAATCCTTTCG